CCCTCTTTCATTTTCATGTGAACAGTATTTCTTTTCTACAAGAGTTTCTCAGACATTCTGAAGAGCTGCTATGTTACAACTCATTAAATTAAGTCTCTATATTTGCTGCTTAAGAAGATGTTATCTTTGGCACTCTTGGAAACTAATGTTTGGTTGTTGTGGCTTTGCCACTGGCACAGAAGCATTTCCTGCATGAATGCAAATTGCTGAAGCTCCCGACTTCCTGGCTGGATGTGGCTCAATTCTGTGTGTTAAACTGATGGAATTAATGTTTAGTCCACCAGATGGGCTGGCTTCTGGCTGATGGCTGTCTCTGCAGAAAAGAAGGTCTAGTTGGAGAGGGCAGAAGGACTTGGAGCTCTGACCTGAGATGCCCCACTGAAAATCATGGCTCAGATGCATGGATCTGGATGCCCAGCACGTGCCTCAGCCTCACCACCCTTGCAAATTTGTCTGGGGTTATATCTTGCCCCCTTATGCAGCTTGGAACTGTGGCCTGGCCCTCACCCCATACCCACAGCACAGCCTCTTGCCTGGAGGAGAGCATGGGTGAGAGGTCCTAGCTTGTGGGGTGAAGCAGGCAGCATGCCAATCAGGTGCTGCCTAAAATAGCTGGTAGGAAATGCTGAAGAAAGTGGGGTGGATCTAGCATTTAACATATTCATCAGGTGAGCCCTTGAGCTAGATCAGCCCTTCCTTGGAGAAAATGGTGGTGTTTCTCTCCACGTGGAACACTCTTTTGAGAAATGAATTCATTCTTTCAAATCCTCCCAGCATCATGGATTTCACTCTTCATAGAATCATAGAATCACTGGAGTCAGAAGCAACTCCCAAAGGTCATCTAGTCCAACTCCCCTACAGTTAGATCACGGTGCTTAGAGGTTCTCCAAGAATGGAGCATCCACCACCTCTCTGGGCAGCCTATTCTAGTGTCTCTCCACACTTAGTGGAAAAAATATATTCCTTAAATCTAATCTAAGTTTCCTCTCTTTTAGTTTGGAACAATTTCCTCTTGTCCTATCATAACAGATCCTGCAAAACAGTTTGTCCCTTTCTTTCTTAGTGCTCTACTTTGGATACTGAAAGGCTGTTCCAGGTCTCCCTGGAGCCTTTTCTTTATCAGGCTGAAGAGCCCCAGCTCTCTCAGCCTCCTTGTAGGGGGGAGTTCCATCCTTTGGATCACATTTGTGGCCCTCCTCTGGATGCATTCTAAAAGGTCCACATTTTTCCTGTACAGAGGGCTCCATATTTGGATGCAGTACTCCAGATGAGGTCTTACTAGTGCAGAGTAGAGGGGCAAGATCACTTCCCTCAACCTGCTGACCACACTTCTTCTGGTGCAGTCCAGGATACAGTAGGATTTCTGAGCTGCAAGGGCACATTACTGGCTTGTGTCCATCTAGCCATGCGCCAGTATCCTCAAGTCCTTTTCAGCAGGGTTATGCTCCATCCTTACATCCCTCAGCATGCATTGATAGCAGGGATTACCACAACCCAGGTGCAAGACCTTGTACTTGGTTTTGTTGAACCTCATGAGGTGTTCCTGGGCCCACTTCTTGAGCCTGTCTAGGTTCCCCTGGATGGAATCCCATCCCTTGGATGTGTTGACCACACCACACAGCTTGGTGTTACCCACAAATGTGCTCAAGGTGTGCTTAATCCCACTATCAATGTCATCAGTGAAGATATTAAAGAGCATATGTCACAGTACTGACTCCTGAGGGACACCATTCATCACTGATCTCCATCCAGACATTTAGCCATTGACCACCACTTTCTGGGTACAACGTCACAACCTGCTACTCATCAGATCCACATCTTTCCAATTTGGAGAGAAAAATGTTGTGGGGGACCATGTCAAAGGCCTTTTGACACCAGTGTCTCTTCCCTTATCCACTGATGCACTTATACCATCATAGAAGGCCATGGGGTTGGTCAGGTAGGACCTGTCCTTGGTGAAGCCATGCTGGTTATTCCATATCATCTCCCTCTTTTCCATGTGCCTTAGCATAGATTTCAGGAGGATCTGCTCCATGACCTTCCCCAGCACAGAGGTGAGGCTAACAGGTTGGCAGTTCCCTAAGTCATCCTTTCCATCCTTCTTAAAAATGGGTGTGATGTTGCCTTTTTTCCAGTCACCAGGGATTTCACCTGATCACCATGACTTTTCAAATATCATTGAGAGTTGGTGGCAACTACATCAGCCAGTTCCTTCAGGACTCTGGAATGTATCTCATTGGGACCCATGGATACTCTTGGTACTCTTTTCTGACTTCAGCACTCCTAACCATGAGATTTCTTCAGGATCTCTTACTGAAACTGTGCTATCTTACCTGGACCTCATACATGTATAGACCAGGCATAGACCCTCCCATGTCCCTAGTAGATCCCTTGAGAACAATGGGAAAAGTGACAGAGCTGCAAATAAGATTTCGGGGCCATGTAACTCAGGAAGCTGTACTCACTGATGGCCAGGCACTGTTCTGGAAATTAGGTTTGCACTTGTCCAAGGCCCTAGTCCTGTGTGGGCAAAGGGGTGACTGTGTAAAAGAGACTTCTCACCACTTCATCACAGAATCACAAAATCACAGAATTGTAGGGGCTGGAAGGGACCTCCAGAGATCATCGAGTCCAACCCCCCTGCCAAAGCAGGTTCCCTACAGTAGGTCGCACAGGTAGGCATCCAGGCAGGTCTTGAACATCTCCAGAGAAGGAGACTCCACCACCTCCCTGGGCAGCCTGTTCCAGTGCTCCGTCACCCTCACTGTAAAGAAGTTCTTGCGCACATTTGTGCGGAACTTCCTATGCTGCAGTTTCCAGCCGTTTCCCCTTGTCCTGTCTCCACTCACCACTGAAAAGAGTCCGGCCTCGCCATTCTGCCCCCCACACCTTAGATATTTGTAGACCTGGATCAGGTCCCCTCTCAGTCTCCTTTTCTCAAGGCTGAACAGACCCAGTTCACTCAGCCTTTCTTCATAGTGGAGATGCTCCAGGCCCTTCACCATCTTCGTGGCCCTCCGCTGGACTCTTTCCAAGAGATCCCTGTCTTTTTTGTACTGGGGAGCCCAGAACTGGACGCAGTACTCCAGATGAGGCCTTACCAGGGCAGAGTAGAGGGGGAGGATCACCTCCTTTGACCTGCTGGCCACGCTCTTTTTAATGCACCCCAGTAAGCCATTGGCCTTTTTGGCCACAAGGGCACACTGCTGGCTCATGGCCAACCTGTCATCCACCAGGACACCCAGGTCCCTTTCCGCAGAGCTCCCCTCCAGCAGGTCATCCCCCAACCTGTACTGGTGCATGGAATTATTCCTCCCCAGATGCAAGACTCTACACTTGCTTTTGTTAAACCTCATCCGGTTTTTTTCTGCCCAGCTCTCCAGCCTATCCAGGTCTTGCTGAATGGCAACACAGCCTTCAGGCGTGTCAGCCAATCCTCCCAACTTCGTATCATCGGCAAACTTGCTGAGGGTGGCCACTATCCCCTCATCAAGGTCATTGATGAAGATGTTGAACAAGACCGGACCCAGCACAGACCCCTGAGGAACACCGCTAGTTACAGGCCTCCAACCGGACTCTGCACCACCAACAACGACCCTCTGTGCTCTGCCAGTCAGCCAGTTCTCAACCCACCTCACTGTCCACTCATCTATCCCACACTTCCTCAGCTTTGTTATAAGGATGTTGTGGGGGACAGTATAAAATGCCTTGCTGAAATCAAGGTAGACTACATCCACTGCTCTTCATGAGAGTTTTGACCTTCTGAGGACATATTTACTGGTTTGGTCTCTGCCAAAACAATTGTGACAGAATATTAGCTTGCAAAACTGGCCAGAACTGTGAGATCAAGCAAGTTTTGAGGCTCTGTCTTTGGGATGCAGGTGATACATGTGAGCCCTGCTTGGGCTCCTAGGCTCCAGCTTTGCAAAAGTACCTAAGTGTTGCAGCATGGTTATATGATCCTTCTGTTGAAGGCAAAGAATCCATCCCTTGTTTTCTGCCTCCTTCCAGGGGCTGGAAGTACATTTCCTAGCATCCCACTTTTTCTGTATAATGCTTTGAGATATTTTGTGTGCATGGAGTCTTTATATCCCACGTGCTGAATTGTATCAAATATATACAAGTTTTCATAAGTAATGGAGTTGACAACATAGTCTTAAGCTGAAGTTCTTTTGAAAAGGGTTATTAGAAAAGCTACCTTTGCCTAACTTAAAGCTATTGGCAGTCAGTAGAAAGTTTGCTGCTTCTGTTTGTGGCTGGTAGTAAATTGCACAATTGAAGATGTGCTCAGAAGAGCAAACCGAGCAGTTGGACACAGACATGCACACCTCCTTATCTATTGTAAGCAGTTTGTTATTCTGTGTAACCAGGAATATGAACTTCTTTATCTGAGTGCCTGTGCATGCTTCTGTCTACATGATGTGTGGCTGTAGTCAAAGACTGAAATGATCCAGCGTGTTTGGAGAATCTGCTAAGAATGGAGTACTCAAGACAACTCCCCAAAATCTGTGGCTCTGCTGTGAACCACAAAGACCTGATCAGTCAGACAAAAATAGGAAGTCTTGCCCTATTTGCAATGTAGAAGGGAGGAAAGGAGACAAAAATGTTACCGAATATAGGAAATATTTTTAGGCTTTATGGGCTGCATCTTATTGCAGTATGTGAACATTCAGTCTGCACAGGGCAGGAATCTTCTCTGCAGTTTCCAATTGTATGTGTTGTTAATTACAACAAGAAAAATGAGACTTATGCAATACTTGTTATGTCTGTTGTTCTTGTTCCTGGTTTTCTCGCTTGCAAGGAATAGGAAACAACAACAAAAAGACTGGTGCTATTTATATACTGCTCAGGCTGCTAGCTATAAACTCATTTAGCTATTTCCTTTCATGCCAATTCTATAAGATTTGAAGATGGTTTGAGCAGCATGAATATCTCATCACCATGGGTACCAAAGTGGGACCTCTGGAATGGTTTCTGCTCTCCAAGGTCAAGGTACTCACCCTAACCCACCTCTGTGCTGGGGAGCGCTCAGGTGAGGAGTGGCTTCCAATATGCTTGTGTCCTCACAGAAGAAGAGCCGATGCATTCGAACTGTATTTCATGCTGCTGTTGTCCTTGGATAGCATTTCAGGGAATAAATATGTGCAAAAGTATCAGGCAAGCAAATTATGGAATTGATTCTGATGCCCTTACTTTCATAACATAGCACAAGAAGACTCAGAGTGGAATTCTACGAAACAAGGTGCTTTTTAGTGTGTGCCAAGATTGCAGATCTTTCTATGCAGCTTATATTTATCTTCTCTGAGGGTACACTTACAGGATCAACATCTGGTCCTCAGGGAAATCCATCTGGTAAAAGAACACGTGTCACTCTGTAGTAATGCAATTGTAAATTTATAATGAAGGGGTAAACAAACCCAAATGGAGTAATTTAGAAATTTTCTATTCCAATTTTAGCTGTTTTATTGTTTATTCCAATTTTAGCTTTGCCTTAAATTCAGTTCACATTTTTCAGCTAGGAGTCAGTTAGGATTGGAAACAATGCAGAGTATTTTCCTTAAATTTTTATGACACCACATTTCATACTTCAGTATTTTGAAGTCTCCCCTCACCCAAGTATTTTGGCATATATCTCTGTATCTTAAAAGAGACCTTCAGTAACAAGTTGAGGTTTCAAAGAATCAGCCATTCCATGATTAAAATCTCATTCTCAACTAATTTTATTTTAAACGTGTAATAAAAAATGCAGTAACCAAAAGCTCAGAAGGTTTCAAGTAAGTACTAACACTTGATGTTGAGCACCATCAGTCCTTTTGTCCGTTGCAATTCCTGTGCAATGTGTCTAACCAATTATAAGGATACAGAATTTAGGTGGTATCTCTCTGTGGTTAATACAGAAGTCTAGCTATTCTGTAATTATTATAATATACAATAATGAAACAGTAATTTCATTCCTTCTACGTAATGCACTCTACCAGCTTTAATTAAACCTAGCAACCTCATTAGTGGATATCATTATATCAGCTTCAGGGAAGCAATACTATCTAGTGAATAAAAGATTATTGCATGATTTTGGAGATCTGGAATATCAGATGCATCCCGAGGCTGCTATTAGACTCTGGGCAATTCACTTCAAGTCTCTGGGCCCTTTTTTTACTCACTGACCTAGTGAAGTCTATGGTGTTTAGACTAAAATGCTCTGAATTATGTGGGTTCCAAATATCTGTATGAGCACTGCATTTTTGCAAATGAACTAGTGAAGACGCAGAGAAGTGCTGCCTGAAACCACAAAATGAGATATTGTTGGTTCCCGGATGTCCCCAGATATTCTGAATTTCAGTAAAAATACATTACCCGTGGATTAAAACTATATTTGTTCTGCACCATCTTCCTTACCTGGTGCTGGCTGGGAACAGCCTGCAATGTTTCACACAGACACCCAGAGCGCTTCCAGTGGAAGATGTAGACTATGCCCCATCACTTCATGTGGGTTTGTGAAAGGGATTAGGTCGAGCTTTGTCTCCTCTTGCCATTTAATTGATTTTGAGAGCCTTACCCAGGCTACAGCAGAGGGCTCTACCTGGGTGACTGTGTGCATGTGTCAGCAATCTGGTTTTCAGAGATGCTGAAAACCAGACAGGTTCAACCTGAAGATGTTGGTAGGGCTTCAGAGCTGGAATAGGTGCTGCTTCCCTGACATGATCAGCTTCTACGTTGTCCCCTAAGAAAAGAGGTGTATTTTCTAAAAGGGAAGGCAAACAGAGCAGGAGGGAGTCACATCAGCTTGTCAGCAAAGTGCCATGGGCAGCATCGAGTCTTGGCAGGTGAGAGGGTTGGGAGGAAGACAGCAACAGGTGGATGTAGCAGCAGGGGTTGTTAGTGCTTTTGCTACAGGAATTCACTTTTTCCTCCACTGTCACCTATTTGGTGTTGTTACCAGCAGCATGTTTTAACAAAACTGACTTTTCTTTCCTCCCTGTGCACCACTGAGGTTACAGCTGGAGAGCCCCCACTTTGCTGTGCTCTTTCTGAGGCAGAAGATGCTTCAAATCTGTGTCTGTGGGGCTGAGTGTGAGATCTGACCAAGTAGGCTGTGGAGATGAGGAAGTAGGACAGTGTTCCTGAAGGCTCAATGGGTGACTGAAGTGCAGTGTATTCAAGGACTCTTACACATCCTTCTCTGTCTGGCAGCTTTAAAGTGAGAACAATCAGCTGGGGATCATTGTCTTACTTGGTGCATGCAAAGAGGAGGCTGCCTGGTTGGCTGTTGCAGCACAAGTCATGCACTAACTACTGACTAGTTGTGATGACTGCAGCACGAAATGTGGATTTGTCAGAAATGCACAGCCAGTTTATTTCATGCTCACTATATGTGAATTTTTTTGTGGACAAATTAGCATATTTGTGCATCAGTATATTTAAGATGTTATATTTTTTACTTTCTCCCCTCCTTTACAGTAGATCAAGTCTCAAATACCCACTGATACTGAAGTTACACTAACAATATGAAGCTGCAGGTGAATTTAAGGCATCTTGTGTGGTTTAGCAGTGGAAAAGTATGGATGATTGCAGGTTGCAACATGAAGTTGCAATCTTTTCAGCTTTGCCCTCTAGTGATTGGAAGTGATTCATTCATCACATTGGCTCAATCTCTGTGTTATTCTGAAGGAACAGCATGCCAAAACAGACTGTCATGTGAATATCTCTGTATTTTCCAAAGCTGACTCTCACATTTTTCCAGTAAATCAGAAACCCAAGCAAGTTTTTTCCAGTTCTGACTTTGATACCCACACTACTTATCTGTTCTCCCAACTGAACTTAGGAAACGTAGCTAGAAACATCACTGTTGCTATTATTAGATGCTGTTAATACATACGTTTTGCAGAAAACAGTGGTGATCAGTCATGGCTTACCAAGTATACTGATTAGAGACACTAGGAAATCCCAGCTCCCAGCCCTTAATCTTACCTCTTGTTGGACTTCATACAAATATGTTTTCATCACAAGATATACAACTAGCACACCAGCTAGTTCAATGAGCTCAAGTTCCGTGGCCCATGGCAGCCTATGGCACAGTGCTCTGGGCGCAGGAAGCAACATTTTCACAGTGCAGACAAAGGCTAAGCTTCCTTCTGTCCCCACTACATCCATAGACTTGAACTGGCAACACATAAGCACATGTCTGAGAACATTATCTCTGGCAAGTATCAACATGCTAATAGGAAATCTTGGGGAGCTAACTCAGGGAAAACCACAAGAATTCATGGATCACCTAATATCTACTTGCAGCTGCAATGTAGATACAGCAGTGTATCTCTGTGCAACACTGCTCTCTGCTTCCTGGAACAAGTCATGAGTTCATTGCTACCACATCCACTAGCAGTATCTGCTAGCATTTGTGGAGATCAGCTTTGCACTGAAGGGCTTTTAAGATCCTTCTTGAAACTAAGTATTCATTACCTGACATACATGTGTTTGAGTAGTGTTTATGAAAAGCAGCTCAACTCTATCTTGGTTTTGTAAGGAAACAGGCAAGTGAGATCTGAGGCATTAAATATCCAAATTCACTGTGAAAATTAGATGAAGAGTGCAAGAGCAAGGCAAATCAAAGCCACTCTCATCACAGAGCTGAAAAAGATACTCCCATCCCTCTAGAGAAGCAGATGGCATCTGCAGTATGAACATCAGCAGTTCACAGCCACCACTGTGCACATGTCCTTGCACCAACAGCCCCAGGTTCAAAGAAGGGAAACAATGGGAACAGAGAATGAACTAAGGAATATAGAAAAAAGGTGGAATTTAAGAAAAACTAGGACAAAAATCTCTAGGAATCAGGGAAGTCTTCTCTTGCACTTCTGTGCAGAATGCAATCTGTGTGTGCAGCTGTTAATTTTACCATATATTCCACTTTAAAGTAATGGAATGAATTGAATTAGCTTGTGAGATAGCAAGCTGATTTGTCTGATGGTTTCTATACGACACTTAAATCCAGATGGTTTTTCCTGCTAATGATTTCACTTCTGTTGCATGTATATGTACAAGATGCTCAGGTACATTATATATAATTAAAGATGAACTCCATTACTTATCTACTGAGAAGATAAACTTTGCTTGTCCCTGACACACGTGGTTGATCCTCATGCCTCATACATCCAGGTGCCTCATATATCAATATAACTCTAGCAAATGGAAATACATTCACAGACTGTCCAATCTGAGGAATGTCATGATCAGGTCATTCGCAAATTATAAAAAAGTCATTTGCATTTAATGGATCCTGGATCTGGAGATAGTATGTAGGTGCTGAGACAGCCTTCCAGCCTCCAGAATGTCCCAAACCTTTGGAAACATTAGTGAAATAATGATCACAGCACATCTGCATTACTAATTCTTTCTTGAGAAAAAAAAAAAAAAAATAGGCACAGAAATAGGAATCTTGAGCAAGAACATGTATAGAAAAACTGGGTATCAAAATTCACTTATGAAGACCCTGCTGCTTACCCTTAACTCTGAGATCATCCTTCCATGATTCAGGAACAGTTTCATCATAGACATACAGGGGATGAGAGAGAAATAGCTCAATACCAAGATTCCAGCTGTGACCACAGCCTGAGCTGGCCACAGTTCCTTGTGCCAGAGGTCATGAGTTTGACAGGTTCCTGCTGTACAAATCCCACTGCAATACAGAAGCAAAAACCAGATGATTTCTATCAACTTCTTATAATTATAAACAAAAGACAATGAGAAACATCAGGGAGTCACATTTCACTGGAGGATAGAGACAGTGGGGGGCATAATTAGCATTGGAATCACATCTGCATCAAATTGAAAATTAGTAAAAACAAAGGAAACTCTTCACTTTGCAACTTTGCAGATGAAAAGCAGCAATTCTTCCATGCATAGCATATTTTTTGTTAAAATTGCTGTCTTACTACTTACAGGATTTAAATAAAAGATCCATAAAAATAGAAAATCCATTTATCCACCCATCTGAGGGGCATGTTCCCCACATATATGTGCTATTCATGCTTTTAAGATGGAAGGATGGATAGATACCTAATTGTTGCTAGATGATTTTCTCCAGCAGCAGTCAGATCAGCTTTTTGCTCCTTCCTATTAGATTATGGTCATTTTAATAAAGCTGACTCAGGTACAAGTCACACCTCAGAGAGAGAAGACAGAAAACCAGAATTTGCAGACCTGCTGTTTGTCTTCTGCCCTTTGCCACACAGACATTAAACAGTGCTTGGATGTCTGCATCAATTCAGTTTAGTGTGGAGATGCCCTCCTGCATGGAGCATCACCCTGGAATACAGAGGACTGAGAGTCTCTTTTGCCTCTTCCACTGTCTTGGCAGTCTTGGCACTTGGAGAAAATCTCACCTCGATCCTTGGAGCCTGATTTCTTTTAACTGTAAAATGAGATAAATGATGCCAAATTCCCTTGTAAAATTATGGATAAAAAGCATCACTGTCCTCCAAGGTGACAAGTGGTAGAAGGAAGCTCAAAAGGGAGTTCAGCCCACAGAGATCCTTAGGTCTCCTTTGACAAAAGTATCTGTGGAACTGGATGTCCAAAGCAGAGTGCCTGCTTAGCAGTATCCATCTTAGACACAAGACTATCTGAACTGTCTGCCCCTGTCCCTGAGTGGCTTTCCCTGGGTAGCTGGCTGGAAAATATGTCTCAATATTTAGCAATCCAAAAGCCATCTGCCAGCAAGGACACAAGGCTCAGGGATGTCCCTAGATACCTTCCATGTCCACCCTGACTGCCTGTGTCAGGGAGTGCATTTCTTTCCTTGCTCCATCAGTGATGAGGAGCACAAAGCACTCCCCTAAGCCAAGGAACTGAGCTAAGCAGCTCTGGGTTCTGATACATAATTTAAAGCTTTTAACTAAGCACTCTTTGCTAGCACAGATCAAACGGTGGAAGCTGAGTTGACAGGTTAATCCCATTGTCAGGAGATTTCAGTATTTCCAAAGCAGGTTTCATCTGGATTTGGAGTGAAACCCTGAGGCTGCTGCTCCTCCAGGAAGAGAGCAGAGTACCCATCCAGAGAGCTAAGGCAGCCCTGGGCTGAGAAGCTGATGGGAAACATGACAAGGTTTGGCCAGTCCTGCACCCTGCCAGAGCTGCTTCTAAAACTCACCTTTTATGGAATACTTTGACCTTGTCAGCAGGCAGTTCCAACAATCAAAAAGCTTAGTCCACTTTTTTTATTTCCTAGGCAGCTCTATTCTGACAATATGCAATATGCATTTGTCCAAAAAGATGCCTATAAAACCACTAAACTTGCAATTTTTCCTCTGAAGACTCAAAAGCCTCACAGCCTCATTGAATATTTGGGCTCTTTCATTCTGCTGTTGTTTTGACAATGTAGAGAAAGGCCCAGATGAGAACAGCTGTTCTAAAACTGTTCTTCACACAGATGGGAAGATCTGAATGCTGCAATGTAGTACTCGTCCTGCCCACATCCTTCTGATTCCACATCTGAACTATTCCCGTATAAGCATGAGGCCAATCTCTAGTTAAGAGTTGAATGCCTCCAGAAACCCACAAGAAATAATTGTTTTTACTGAAATGACTTTCCCTAGATAGTGGAAAACACTTCACAATAGCTTGTACATTTGTAATTCTTTACTATCCAAGTCCCAGCAATACAGCAAGGTAATAAATCTCACTAAAGAGTGATGTGTGGTATAATTGATGGGAATAGGTAGATATGAATCTTGAACATCTGTACATCTGATATGTGCATAGCGAAGGGGACAAAACTAAATATATTGGCACCCTTAATATCTTTCGTCAAGCTTAATTATAAATACAAAATATAATCTCAGTTTTCCATTCTTCTTTTAGAACCTCATAATTCCTATGGAGTTGATGATGATTTTTGTGGCTGAAAATAAACATTAGGTCACAATTCTGCTTTCTCAGTTCAGTGCAAAACATGAGCAATATCTCTAGGTCATCACTACATCACTCCAGAAATCACTGCATGTGTGACGCTGCAGAAATCTGCTTCTCTGGCACCTGCAGAGGCATAGCTCAGCTTGAAGATCCTCTCACAAACTGTCACATGGTCAGCAGGAAAAATATCACATTCTTTTCTGGTCAGCAAAAGATGGAGTTGTTTTTGAAAACAACTGAAGCAGGTAACAAAGCTCTGCTTGCAATCAACAGTCAATTGTTGTTGGCAAATGCAGAAGCACTTAATAATACTAGCACAGACATAAATCATTACAAAAAATAGGCCTTCCATTGCAGAAAATGCTCTAAAGCTCTGAAGTATTGAAAAATAATGTGCATTTTAGCATATTTTCTTGTTTCAGAGCATATTATTAATTATTTCTTACCAAAATATTGTGTAAAAGAGCCATCATTTGTATCTATAAATGAATGGCAAATCACAGCTTCAATAAGATGGAAAACCAATCTTCTGTCATGAGTTTTTCTCTGAATATTACTTTCCAATTTTACAAAAGCAAATCTTTTGCATGCCATGGAAGCGTGTGTTGCAGCCAGTTATGTCAATTTGCATATCGTGGCATGACAAAAACAAAACAATCTCATCTCCCTCGGTGGAAGGAATGACTGGAGGTTGAATTACTTAGTGACGCCAATCCTTCTCTGCTTTTGTTTCTGTCTTTAGGTCCTTTCCTTTTTATTGTTGTTTTCTGCCCAGACAGGCAAAAACTGTATCTTGCAGTAGTTACAATCTTCTGCTTGTCCTTCTGCATCATCCTCCCCTGAGCTGGAGGTTGAATCTAATACAGAGAGAAAGAAGGACTGTGATTTGTGATAATGTCTCAAAGTCTTAGGCACTCAGGCCCACAGAAATGTCACTGATTTGTGCTTTTTGCTTTCCCTGGGCAATTCAGACAACTTTGTTCAGTCATGCATAGTCCTACCAGCACTGAGCAACTCATGTGTTAGAGCTTTAAAACACACTACTTCACCACCCAGTCTTCTTGGGAAGAACTGAAAATGTATTCACAGATGTCTCATTATTCAAAAATGTAAAGGTTAAGATCTTTAAGCCTTTGGCTTAAGTATCTCTTACAGTGTCACTTCTGTGGCAGATTCCTGGAGGATTCCTGGCTTTTCTTACTGTAGTTGCTTATTTGCTTTCCTTACTTGAAGTGATATACTGGGCAAAAACATTGTTAGCCTGCAGCTTAACAGCCAGGCCTCAAAGTAATTAATCATGCTAAGATAAAATAATTACTTCATTTATTTGAAATGAAAGAAAAATAGGTTTGCATACAGCATGCTTTCTTTTGTAAGAGGAAAAGCCTTGTAATCAATCTTGGCACGCAAATTGCCTTGGATATAGTGTTTAGGTGAATATGTTATCAGAGTTACAGTCTTTCAGGAATGCACAAGTCAGGTTTCAATACAGGTATTCTTTGATTTCCCAGTTTACTTTTTTTTTTGCTTTAAAAATATCTACATTTAAAGAGTCCACTTTTCAACATCAAGATATAGAATTGTTAAGGTTGGAAAAGACTTCTAAGATCATCTAGACCAGCTATCAGCCCATCCCCACCATGCCCACTACCAACATTCTTTTGGTGCTGTATCCACAGCATTCTTGAACACAGGGATGGAAACACTTCCAGGTTGTAGGAAATGAGGTTTGTATCAGAAATGCTAAATCACGGCCTGAACCAGTGATTGAGCACCTGGTGGGAAGGCAGGGCCAACCCAAGGGAGCTCAGATGCAGTGCACCTGAGTGACCAGAAGGGGTGGAGCTGGGATCCATCCCTTCCCAGACCTCATTTAAGAGTTGACAGGGAAGATAAGGGTATTTTGTAGGAGATTGTTGCATACCTGAGGTTTTTGGGAGGTAAGCTGCTTTTTTTTCCTTTGTTTCTGTAGCTACAGAATGCATCTGCTGTGTTTGGAATCATCTTCACTTACTGAAGCTTGGAACTTTGCTACCCTGCTGTCATTGCTGTGTTTTCCATCATGTTATAGCATTGTCTGTGTGTCTGCTATTTGTGTTGATGTTTATCACAGATTTTTAGTGGGGGGGAGGTATAGAAATGGTTAAGAAATGCATGATTGGTTATTCTGAAGGTGTTTCAGTTTCTGGAGGGAAGAAATACTGTCAGAACTCTGGATCTTGCTATAGAAGCCATAGAGGACTTTAGGTAGGGGAGGAAGGGAAGCTGCTGAACACTAACAAGCAGGGCACTCAGTTCCTGCTGTTGGACTCCAACAGTCATGAAATGCTCAGGCCTGCTGCCTGCAGCACTGCCAGCTGGCTTCTGTGGGACAGGTGATTAATGGAGGGGAAATTTCTGTGAGCAAGTGAGCAGTATTATTTACTGATTTATGACTTCTTTGGAAGAAAGAAAGAAGTGGAAAGAACAGAAGTTAAGGCTCAATGAGAGAGAATGTAAAGAGGAAAGAGAATGTTGTGTCTGCGTTGTATGAGTCTCCAGCACTTCTGAGGACAAAATGGATTATTTGTGTGTAGTATGGCGGAGATCTTAGGAAAAGACAGG